GGGGGCGGAGGCCCGGGGGCCCGGGCGGGGGGAGTCCCCGCTCCGAGGCGCGCCGCTCCTACCTGCCGACGAAATTCTCGAGCACCGAGCTCTTGCCGGCGCTCTGGCCGCCCACCACGGCGATCTGCGGCAGGTCGAGGTCCGCGTTCTGGCCGATAGCGGAGAAGGCGTCCTGCAGCCGGTTGACCAGCGGGATGAGATCCTCCATGCCGCGGTTCCCCATGGCTGCGGCGGGCCCCGCGGGCTACGATCCGGCCGCTGCTCCGGCTCCCGGCTCCGGCTCCCGGCTCCGGCTCCGGCTCCGCCGCTGCAGCCGCGCGCTCCGACTGCCTGTGCCGCGGACCCCCGCCCCTCCGGGAGTGGATCGGAGCTCTGCGTCAGGATGCCGCCAGAGGGCGCCCACGGCGCTGCGGGATGGCAGTCGTGCGCAGGTGCAGCCTGCGGCACCATGGGGATTGTAGTTTTCTTCATCTGCGGGTTTGGGGCGCTGGAGCCTTGTCTGGCGGGGGGGCTCTGATGCTGCAAAGCGGTATCATTCCTGGAAATGGGCGAGGTGTACCCCTAGTGCAGGGCCTCTTGGATAGTGGTCATGGCTGTCTCACTCAATCTTACAGATGAGGAAACTGAGGCTTGGAAAGAGATGGGTCTCCTTCAAGGTCACAGTATCCTGACCTGGAGTTCCACTTGGCCTTATTGCTTTCTTCTACTCTAGGTTCTGATACTAATTCATGGCGGCATGCCCCTGCCCGCCTTTGGGTTTCAGTTTCCCTGTTTCTAGAAGGAGAAAGAACATTAATTCAACAAATATTTATTGAGCACCTACCAAAACCCAGTCCCTGTTGTAGGCAGTAGAGAGGTACAACAATAAACAAGACCAACAATGTCTCCACCCTTACAGATCTTACGTTGGGTGCTGGAGACAGACAGCAAATGAATAACCAGGTGAATGAAATAGTAATAGTGAAAATAGTTTATACCAATAGTGATGGAAGAAATAAACAGGATGTGAAGAGAGGTACCTGTGTTGGGTGCGCAGGTCTACTTAGCCTGGGAGAAGTTGGGTGGTTCTCTGAAACGGTGACATTTGAGAAGAGACCTAGATGATGAGAAGGAGCCAGCCACAGACAGATCAGGAGGGGAGAGCAGGCCAAACTGAATGAACAGCAAGTATGAGGGCCCTGACCCTTGCAAGGCCTTCTTTCTGAGAGTGGGGACTTCTTGTCCCAGAGAGTGTCAGACTTTGCCCCAACCCATCAGGGTGCTGGTAAAATTTGGATTTGAATCCAGGACTCCTATCTATCTACCCTATCTATCCCTTTCACACGGAGAGACCAGGGGCCGCAGGCCTAGCCATTCACCTCTGCATTTAAGAAACCTCATTTGGACAGCCCACAAAGAGTCTAGGGAAGAGAGGTCAGCATACCCTGTGCTGCTGGGCATCAGCAGGTCACCCTGTATGTGAATGTGAGGGGTGGGGGTGGGGGCCACTGCTGGGAGGGCAGCGGCCTGGGAATCAGAGACTGTCATTCATTCACCCATTTAATGCCTATTAACTGAGCCAGGCGCTAGGCTAGACCCCAGAGATAAAGCAGGAGGCAAAATGAACAAAGTCCTTACCCATATGTGGAAAAAGAGAGACAAAGTATACACAAGCCAATGAATATGACTCTGTCAGATCGTGATGGGAAAGTCAGGGGCAGGGGAGTGTTTTTTAGGGTGATGAGCATAAGATTCTGGTACAAATGTAAGCAGAGACCTGAAGGAAGTAAGGAAACGACCCGCGTGGACATCTAGGTGTGGGGGGTGGGGTGGGGCTGGGGGTTCCAGGCAAGCAGAGGAAACTGAACAGACCTTGCCCCAGGAGCCTGGCCTGGGCTTTAGTCAAGCTGTGTGATTCAGGTGCTCACATGCCTCTGGGCCTCAGTTATCTAATCTGGGTAATGGGGATAATGAGAGAATAGAATCCCTGTGAGAGCCTGGCCCTGGCCTGGTGCTCAGGAGAACGTTATTAAGCCAGTGCTTTGAGCCCTCCTGGCAGCTGGAGCTTCAGCTACCCATGATGCTCATCTTGAACAGCTGCTTAGAGCCAGCCACTTTATGATGTTCTGAGAACCAGAGAGGGCGGAGAGGAAGCCTGGAGTGGAGCCTTTAGTTTGGGGAGGGGGTGCAGTTTACAGATGTCTGCCCGGAGGGGCACCGTCATGGCTGGGTTGTTTTCCCTAATTACAGTAGTGAAACTTACTGTAAAAGACTTTACCAAATATTTGAAAGCTTCTGGTCATCCTCCCACCCACAGATAACTATTATTTATAGTTTTAATTATTATTATTTTACAGGGGGGAGAGAGGGGCAGAGGCAGAGAGAGAGAGAGAGAGAGAGAGAGAGAGAGAGAGAGAGAGACAGAGGGAATCTCAAGCAGGTTCCCCACTCAGTGCAGAGCCCAGTTTGGGGCTTGATCCCATAACGTTGAAATCATGACCTGAGCTGAAATCAAGAGTTGGATGCTTAACTGACTGAGCCACCCGGGGGGCCCTTATAATTTTTATAGTGTTTATTCTGTGGGTTTTCCATATATATTCATTTTATTTGATTTTGTTTTTACAGAAATGGGATCTTACTATAGGTCTGGTACTGCTGTATCACTGATGCAGCAAGACCGGCTGCTTGGGCATCACCTGGGGTTTGTCAGAAATGTGGAATCTCAGGCTCTACTCATGTTCTGTTGGGTCATAGCCTGCGATTAACAAGAACCAAAAGCCCCAAAAGATTCCCATTCCTTCCCCAGATACCCTATTCCTTCAACTCCTATTGAAGTTGGAGAAACTCTGATATATATTATTATATGCACCTTGGGATCGGGTGGGGAGTTGGGGGAGGGTTTTAACAAAATCATTCTATGATTTACCTGGAAAAAAGATGTTATATGATTGGGAATTTGGCAAGACATTTTTTTTTTTTTTGTAAAGCATGACAGTGTTGGGGGCTTGTGCTATGGAGGCATTAAAATATATTCCAAAACTGTAATAATTACATTATATGGTAGCATCATGGGGAGAGATGGGTAGATTCCTGGAGCAGAAGAGGTCTGGACATAGATCTTTGTGAGTCTAAGAGTTCATTACATAATAAAGGTGCAGCTCGAATTAGAGGCAAGAAAGAGGCCTCCAGGTGATGGTACAGCCTCAGACTTCATTTCAGATGCAAGGAGATGGGGTTTCTCTTTTGCCTCAGAATCTAGTCCACTGGGGGGCTTTGCCAGCAAGGTATTGGTTAAAAGCAATTAACACGAGTCTAGTGCTGAACAGGGTCCCCAACGAGTTACCAGCTATTATCTTGTCTGGTCTTCAAGGAGTCAGCACAGAGTCAGATACATTTTTAAAAATTCACTCCCTTCCCGTGATAAAGTCATCCAAACCCATCACAGCAAAAGTGAAAGCACTCCACTACACACATATATTTATTTTTTCCAAAACCAGGATCATAATTGTGTATACGGTTGTGTAACCTGCTGAGTTCACTTCACATCATATTGTGAGTGTTTGCATACCCTTTGAAACATAATTTTTCAAATCAAGTATATATATTTATTTATTTTCAGGAATAGAATTTAGTGATTCGTCACTTACACATAACACCCAGTGCTCATCTCAACCAGTGTCCTCCTTAATGCCCCTCATCCCTTTGCCCCTTCCTCCCACCTAACACCCCACTAGCAACCCTCAGTTTGTTCTCTGTATTTAAGAGTCTTACGGGGGCGCCTGGGTGGCGCAGTCGGTTAAGCGTCCGACTTCAGCCAGGTCATGATCTCGCGGTCCATGAGTTCGAGCCCCGCGTCAGGCTCTGGGCTGATGGCTCGGAGCCTGGAGCCTGTTTCCGATTCTGTGTCTCCCTCTCTCTCTGCCCCTCCCCCGTTCATGCTCTGTCTCTCTCTGTCCCAAAAATAAATAAATGTTGAAAAAAAAATTAAAAAAAAAAAAAGTCTTACGGTCTGTCTCCCTCTCTGTTTTTATATTATTTTTGCTTCCCTTCCCTTAGTTTCATCTGTGTTTAAAAAATTTTTTAAATGTTTATTCATTTTTGAAAGAGAGAGACAGAGCACAAGCAGGGGTGGGGCAGAGAGAGAGGGGAACACAGAATCTGAAGCAGGATCCAGGCTCCAACCTGCCAGCACAGAGCCCAACGTGGGGCTTGAACTCACGAACAGTGAGATCATGACCTGAGCTGAAGCCGGACGCTCAAACGACTGAGCCACCCAGGTGCCCCATATGTTCATCTGTTTTTATCTTCAATTCCACATCTGAGTGAAATCATATGATATTCGTCTTTCTTGACTGACTTATTTTGCCTAGCATAATACACTCTAGTTCTATCCACGTTGTTGCAAATGGCAAGATTTCATTCTTTTTGATCGTCAAATAATATTCTATTGAATGTATATACCACATCTTCTTTATCCATTCATCAGTTGATGGACATTTGGGCTCTGAAAGCATAATTTCTTTTTTTTTTCAAATTTTAATGTTTATTCATTTTTGAGAGGCAGAGAGCAAGCAGGGGAGGGGCTGAGAGAGAGAGAGAGAGAGAGAGAGAGGAATACAGAATCAGAAGCAGGCTCCAGGCTCTGAGCTGTCAGCACAGAACCAATGTGGGCGGAACCCATGAACAGTGAGATCATGACCGGAGCCAAAGTCCCACACTCAACCGACTGAGCCACCCAGCCGCCCCTGAAAGCATAATTTCTCATGGCTGTTTGCCTGCCACTCCTTAAGAGGCAGACCCCATGATTTACCTAGCTGTTCCCCTAAAGTTGATTACTTTCCAGACAGCTATTATCAGTAATGTTTCCATGAATGACCTACTGGCTTTAAAAAGTCTTGTTTCTGATTAGTTTCTTGGGCAAGTTTCCTGCAAGAGGGGTTACCAGGTCAAAGGGCAGAACACATTCAATAGTCTTGATGGAGAATTTACAGTAGATTTTCAGAAAGATGAATCAACACAGGATCACCAGCATGAACATTATTTTTAGTGTTTTGTTTGTTTTTACTCTGGCAATTTACTAAACTTACACTGTGTCAAGTGCCAGTATTAAGCATTACATAATATTATCTTCACACCCACCATGGAAGGGAAGAAGAAACCGGCTCAGAGAAGACTCCCCTGTCAACCCGGGTCACCTAACCAGAAGGTAGTGAAGCCCCGATTCAATTTCTCCAACTTCTGCTGGCACTCAGACCAGGTGTCAGCGTGCTTGGACCTGGGTGGAAGCCTAAGCGATCTTGACTCGGCTCCTTCTCTCCCTCCCCATTGCCTCTGTCTCGGTTCTCACCAGAGTGAGTTTTCTAATCCAGGCGGATGCGATGCCGTCATACCCTAGCGCTCTCTGCCCTGCGGGGATAAAGCCCAAGGCCAGGCCTTCAAAGCTCCCACGCTCCAGGCTGCCCTTCCACCCAAGGGCGCAACGTCCTGCTAACTCGAGCCACTTTCGCGTCTCTAAATCCAGGCCGAATTAGGCACCTGTGCTGCTGCCTGGGGCTGCAGTGGAGCCGGTCCAGAGCTCTAGGACAGAGCTTGTCACACGACTGCAGGGATTGGCTGACACTCAGGTCTCCGCGCCTAGGCGCGCCGGGCCGGCCTCCAGTCTGCGCGCCTCTAGCGCCACGGTGCGCGGTGTCCGCGCACAATTGGCGCTTAATGCAAAAGAAGAGGATTGCCCCCGGCGGTTACCTGCATTGACGACTTTAGGTAATAGAAAAGCGAAAAAGCATCGCTACTTAGTAACCGCCGGTTGTTTGGCTCAGTGACTCCACGTGGGGATGAGGGAGAGGGGCGTCGGGATGCGGGACTGAGTCGTAATTAAAGGGTCCTTGGGGCAGGACAATTTCAGGATCAGGATGAACGCCGTTTTTAATAATTGAACTCGGCCCTCCTCACCCCCTCCCGAGTCAAATCGAATAAACACCTCCAGGCGGACCTCGCCACCCCCGTTTTAGGGCAAATTCTTCTGTCCGCTGTGCTGGTCACCCTCTCGCCCGGTCTAGGTCCCCGAATGTGCCGCTGCCGGCTGCACGGCCCCTCCCACCTCAGCCCCGCGCGGGGCCCCAGGATCGCGGGACAGTGGCGACCGCGGGGAGGTCGGTTGGGGACGGTCCTCCTCGAAGTAGCCCGCGATGTCCCCACCAGACGACAGACCCCTCCGGGCGACAGACGGACCTCGGGTTCGGAGCCGCGGGTTCCCGGTGCGGAGGATGCGGGGCGGAGGGCCTGAGCTGCCTCGCGCCCCCTCGCAGCTCCGAGCCGCTCCAGGCGCAGCCGAGGCGAGGAGTAAACCGGTGCCGCCCCCGCAGCGGGACGCGAGCTCAGCTCAAGATCTTGCGCCAGGGGCCGCTGCATCGAGTCCTCCGGTCCCCCAGAGGGCGCTGCTGTGGCCCTGTCAGGCCCCAGCGAAGCGGAGCGCTCGAGCCGCCCCGCCCGTTCTGCCGGTGGGGGCGGCGCGATTGCGGCGGGGGTGCGGGGAAGTGAGGTGCGCGGGCCGAGCGCCGCTTGGGGACGCACGGAAGGGTTTAGGGGCCATCTGGATGGAGGCTGAGGGCGTCGCGCGCAGGTGGGGTAACCGGATTTGATGTGTAAGGCTGGCTCGATCGGCAGAAGAAGGGGTTAACAGAATGGGGAGGGAAGCCTTCCTCCTACTTTGTTCAGAGGCCAAAGCGAATGGTTGGGGATGCTGTTATTGACACAAAGTAGGCGCGAAGAAGAGGGTGGGGTTGTCGTGGAGGGGGGCTGGCTTCCGGACGCGGTGGCGCGAGAAAGGTTGGAGGCGGGGTGGAGGTGCATTTGGGTAGGACTCCCCGGGAAGGACAGAGCCGTGGGAGTAGGGGAGATGGCAGGCGGGGTTGGGCATTTGAGGGAGGGACTGTCGACAGGATTTACGGGAAAGTGGAGGGAGGCGGGGGTTATTGAAAGCGTGAGGGTGCAAATGCGGCGTGCTCTTGGCAGGCCTGGGGTGTAGGCAGGCCTGGGGTGTAGCGGTGAAGCTCAGCGGGCAGGTATTTGAGGGCCGTGGGCGGGAGAGGAGGGAAGGAGGGGTCCCGCCTTACTCCGCGCCCTCCCTTCAGCCACCATGTTCAACCAGCAGCAGCAGCTCCAGCAGCTCCAGCAGCAGCAGCTGCAACAGCAGCAGCTGCTCCAGCTCCAGCAGCTGCTCCAGCAGTCCCCACCGCAGCCCCCCCTGCCCATGGCCGTCAGCAGGTGAGTTCCCCTCTGGAGGGGTGGGCGGCTTCAGTCCCGCCGCTCAGATCCCTGTGGCGGAGACCCCATCCCAGTCCTTTCGCCCGGGGTCGTCCCTGTTTCAGTCCTGGGAGCCATCAGTTCCCACCCTAAGAGGTTCCTCTGTCTGCCGTAGAGAGGGGGCAGAGGATGGAGGTGAGGGAAGAGGGAGGGTCCAACTCTCCTGAAGCCCTCTGACAGCCCCTCCCAACACACAGGGGGCTGCCCCAACAGCAGCCACAGCAGCAGCTCCTGAACCTCCAAGGCGCCAGCCCCGCCTCCCTCCTCAACGGCTCTGTGCTACAGAGAGCTTTGCTTCTGCAGCAGTTGCAAGGTATAGCTACTGGCCCCTTCTCACTGCATCTTAGTGGTGGTGCCCTAGCATCCCCCTTTTGCGCTAAATCTCCCCCAGATCCACACGCTAACTCTGAGAGAGAGCTACTCTCAGCGTCCTCGTTTGCGGATGAGGACACTGAGGCTCCAGGAGGTGGAAGTCCCAAAGTTGCTCAGCTGGATGCCGGTCTATGCTGATCACCGAGGTGTGCCCTTGGCCATGGTGCTGACTCTGTGGGCTGTCCTCAGCACCCCTCACTCACATTCAGATTAGAGGAAATGATGGGTGAAAAGGTCTATTTTGACACCCCGCCCCCTGCCCCCACGGCCCATTTGATAGATGAGGAAGCGGAGGTCCAGAGATGGGGGAAGTCATTTGTGCTGGATCACACAGCTAGATTAAGGCCTGAGGCTCCTGACCCCCTGGGTCTCTGAATGGGCGTCTCTAGCCCTGTGTATTAAGCCGGTGCCCTTGTCTCAGTTTCCCCATGTGGAGAGCAGTCTCTCAGCTCTTCCTTCTAAGATGCTGCTTCAGATACTTCAGCCCCTTTGGGAGTAATCTTAGGAGCCCAGTGACCTGCGGCCAGCTCAGGTTCAGACCCAGCCCCTCCCAGATGGAAGCTGTGGCTTGCTGGGTGGTCCTTCTGGGCGGGGCACTGTGCTGAGACCTTTACATACACAATTCCTTGACTCTGCTGACAACCCTGGGAGGGAGATACCATGATCCCATTTTACAGATGAAAAAACTGAGACCTAGAGAGGCATCATGTGCCCATGGTCACCCAGGGAGTAGATGTGGATTAGAGGGAGAATTAGAGCCCAGAGCCATGTTCTTAGACACCAGGCTATCCTGCCATCCAGCTGGGTATGCTGCCAGGTCAGAAGATGTGGTGGCTGTCACTCTTCAGCCCTGCCACGTAGGCAGGGATGGTCCTGGAGCTGATTGACAAAGGATCAATGGATAGTTGGAGAGAGAAAACCACACACAGGGACCCACGATGTATACATATGTATGTATCCCCCCTTTTCTTTCCCATTTAAAAAGTCACACTCCTCAAAGAAAAGTGAAAACAAATTTTTGAGAGGACAAGAAAACCCAAATTGTCATAGATAGACTCACTCACCTCCTGAAGGAAAGCAACAATAGCAACAACAATAAAAAACACCCGTGAAGATTTTGGTGTATTTCCTCCCAATTTTTTTCTAGGCACAAACTTGGGAATTTGTATATGATTGTGGTTGGTTATTGATGTAAGTGAAAAGCTATATCTTGTTTCTTTTTCATGGAGTAGAATGACTTGGTCATTTACCAGATGATTTGACAGTCTCCGTAAAGATTATTTTTTAACAGCTGTTTTGTTTTGCTCTTGCGTACCTACACTCAGCTGCTTCCTTTTCCCCCCCCTTTTTTTTTTTCCCGTATTCTTCTTCTTTTTTTTTTTTTTTTTTTTTTTTTTTTTTTTTTCTGTTTTAAATAACCCTGGGATGAATATCACGTTTGAGACTATTTTCGTAGAGTGGATTCCCAAAAGTGGATGACTGGGTCGGGGGATGGATGTTTTATGGCTCTTGATAAGTATTGCCAACTTGCTTTCCCCAAGGACTGGACCAGTTTGCAATGCCACCAGCCACGTCTGACAGTGTCGGTCTCACCATGCCCACGGCAACCTTGGGTATTATATGCTTTTTATATATATATATGTATACACGCATACAACTTACTAACTTGGTTGGCAAAAAAGCTATATCATTAATCTTTCAGTTTACATTTCTTGGAGTGTTAATGTAGCCAAACGTTTTATATTTGTCTGTTTCAACATTCATATTTCTTTTTGTGACTTGTCCATGTCCTTTGTCCATTTTTCTTTTAGATCTTTTAGATCTCTTGATCTTACTGTTTTTAATAGCCGGTTGGCTCTCTGCACATATGTGTACATGTATTTGTTTTAATGTTAACTGAACACTGACTCTGTACCAGGCACACTCGCGTATGTCATTGAATCCTCATAAAACAGTGAATCAGGCACTATTATTATCCCATTGTACAGATGAGGGAACTGAGGCTAAGAAGAGGGAAATGATTTGCTCTAGGCCACAGAGCTTGGGCTGTAGGACTCGAACTAGCTCTTACAGCACATCTGACCCACGCTTTCAATCCTGTGCTTCCTGTCCCAGCTTTGGGGCAAGGATTTGAACTGTCTTTTATGGCTCAAACACTTCCTGAGCACTGGGCCTCTGAGTTAGATGCGGTGCCTGCCCTTAAGGAGTTCCCAGTGTGGTTGGGTGGTGGGCAATGGGAAGCAGACAAGGAAATTGTGCAGCTGGTTCTAGAACAGGGAAGGAAGTCTGCCTCTGGGGACACAGGGAAAATGTGGGAAGGTCTCTCAGAGGATAAACACCTAAAGGGAGGCCTGAAGGATGACCAGGAGGTAGTGGGCGCTGAACAGCTCAGGCAGAAGGAATGGCATGTGCAAAGGCCCAGAGGCGGGAAGAAACCAGGCTTGTTGAGGTAATGCACAGAAGCCTGTGGCTGAAATGTAGTGGGTACGTGTGTGGGGAGGAGGGCAAGAAAGGAGGTCTGGGAGGAGGGCAGGGCCAGACCCTGCAAGGTGAGGAATGGGCTTCTCTCCAAGCAGCAGGGAGCTACAGAAGGGTTTAGGCAGCATGGGGAGGGGCAGAGGCAGAATGTGCAGAGATCTTGGCCAAGTTACATCTCTGCTTTGTGTCTGTTTTGTCATTAGTAGAGATCTTAATACCTACCCTGATGGTGGCTGGGCCCAGTGGCGGAGGCCGCGCATGCAAAGTGCTTAGCAAGTGCCTGGTTCCCAGTAGACTTTTGATGAAGGGGTAGAGGGATGGGGGTAGGAGAGTGTTTTATTATTCCAGGGACCAGTCAGTCAACTTGCTGGTTCTCCCTATGGGTCCTGTGCTGGGTCTGTCGCATACCTTAAGGTGTACCCTAAAGCATGCCTGCGGGTGAGTGGGGTTGCTGGGAATGCACTGGGAGCATGACCAGGGAGGCAGCCGGGGACCAGGGAGGCATCTGGAGAGGGAGAAGGCAGTGCCTCTCTCCTCCTCAGCTGGAGCAGGAAACCAGCCCTAAGGCCCCTTCACCATTAGTGCCCAAGGTGGGGGTGGGCCTCTGGCTCTCATCTCCCTCCCCTGGCTGCCCTTGTGTGGGAAGGGTTCCCTTTCAAGTGATCTGTGCTGTTTCCGTGATGCTTTGGGGGGCTGATGCCTGACCCTGGCCTCTACCGTCCAACCATGTCGTTAACCTCTTCTCCCCTCTTCCTGCCTGCAGGTAACCTCCGTGGCTACAACCTGCCAACCCCGAACCTGACGGGCCCCAGCCTCACGGTCCCCCAGCTGGCCACCCCAAATCTACAGCAGTTCTTTCCCCAGGCCACTCGGCAGTCCTTGCTGGGGGCCCCTCCTGTTGGGGTCCCCATAAACCCCTCCCAGATCAACCTTTCAGGGCGGACTCCCCAGAAACAGGCCCGCACCCCCTCCTCCACCACCCCCAATCGCAAGGTGAGTGATGGCTGGGGCGCAGCAGGTGGGGATGGGCGTGGGAAGGTCATACCTGGTATCAGCCTAACTCCACCCACTCTGGCACACACTGGGCCTTTGGGCAGGTCACATCCCTTTTTGTCCTCGGTTTCCCCATCTGTAAAAAGGGGGAAGGGGTTAGTGAGTTGGACTTGTCTAGTGTTTCCCAAATTTCAGATCTTTGTGACTCTCTGATGGGACTTTTGCCACGTCCAAACGCCACCAATCCTGTTGTTTACCTGATATTTCTCTCTTTGTAAACACACGGAGATACAAATGACCCATAACACTGTATTTGTATTAAGTGTCCTGTCACAGTTCTCGGTAAACCAGCGCCACCCTCTAGAAATAAAACATGAGGCATAAATGGAATTTAAATTTCTTTAGCCATCACATTAACAAAGTAAAAAGAAACCAGTGAGATGAATTTCGGTAACAGATTTGAGTTAACTTCATACGTAAAAAACATGACAACTTCAACCTTCAGTCAATATTTTAAGACGCGAATGAGGCGTTTTGCATTCCTTTTTATTTTGTACTGAGTCTCCAAATTCTGGCATGTATCTCCATTTGGCTTGCTACCTTTGGAAAACTCAAAAGCCAGGCACCCGCGGCCAGGGGTTACTAACTGTAGTAGCTGAGCTTTAAATGAATTCGCTTCTCCTCGGTTACATTTATTTAACAAGGAAACATTATGTCACTACCTGAAATTTCAAAAACAGTCCAAAAGAATTGCTGTACACAGAAGTGAAAGAAAGGAAAGGGTAAAACAACATTACAGGACCCTAAACTCTACAGTGTTGTCATTGGAAGGTTCTGGAGCTGCACCGCCACCTCCTTGGGCCTTGAAGAGGGTGCAAGGCATTAGAAGGAGGCTCACCCTGACATAAGCAGAGTCAGTCCTTGACAGAAGCAGAAAGAGTCGAGGGAATAGCTTCTCTGGGACTGTCGTGTCCCTGAATGTCCCGGCAGCCCCTCACATATGGCACCCTTCTGAGAGCATTCCAGGGGGCAGGGATGACACTGCCCTTTCTGGGCTGCTCTCAGGCCGGCCCACATCTGGAAGTGAGGCATTTCCCTCCAGAGAGCGGTCCTGGCCTCCAACCTGCCCATTGGGCCCCTCCTAACATGGTCTTGTCCGGTGTTCTCCCCCACCCATTTTACATATGGGAAAGCTGAGACTCAGGGAGTATGGTGGAGGCTGCCCCATGCTGCACAGCTGTCAAGACAGACCCAGAGCCTTACAGGACAGTAGGGCCCGTGTCATGCAGGGTGAGAGGCAGGTAGTTCTGAAGGGCATGGAGTCCTGATGGGATGCATGTTTCCACTCAGCGCTGGTTCCTCAGGCTTAGGAGGAGGGACAGAGGCTGTGGGCAGGCTCCTGGGACTAACTGGAGTGCCCAGGACCAGCTGGAGCTGTGCATTTATTTAGCAAACATCTGTAAGTCTGGTAGGAGCCCCAGTGGTACAGATGGTGTGACTGGCCTGACCCTCCTTGGAGGTCTTAGCCTGGGGAGGAGGGTGTTAGCAGTGGTAAGACGTGAATGCAAATAATGTTCCCACCAGTTAATTCACATTGTGGCAAATGCCACAAAAAGGAAGCCCAAGGTCCTCTGGGCCTGTGTTAAGGGTCTATCTACTCTGGGGTCAGGAGGGCTTCCCGCAAGAAGTGCCTTTGAGGCTCTGGGTGAAGCCCTGGGGCAGGGAGAGACCTAGGACCTTGGGGAACCAGAGAGAAGGCCAGGGTGGACGTAGAGAGGGCAAGGAGGCTAGTGGGGAGTTGGCTGGAGGTGGGGGCATAGGGGCAGAGGGCAGATTGGGTTGGCTTGGGTGAGGAAGGAATACTCTAGAGTCGGAGGAGTCACAGGAGGGTTTCAGCCTGAAAGGGACAAAAGACATGATCAGGTTTGCGTGTTAGAAGGACCCTTCTGGCTGCTTTGTGGAGAAGGTGGTTGGGAAGTCAGGCAGCACCATGGGCCCGCCAGGAGGGGGCTCTGTATCCCCCAAATCTGGGTTAACAGCCAGGTAGCCTACACAGGATTCCTGGGGTGCTGAGGATCGTCTCTGGGCAGCTCTTCATCCCCTGCGGGACTGTTGAAGCTGCTCTTGGGCCAGGGGGTTGCTTATGAGGGTGGGTGGCAGGTGTCAAAAACAGTTTCTGAAAGGAAGCAGGATTCTTCTTCTCAGACGGTGCCCATGGAAGACAAGTCAGACCCCCCAGAGGGGTCTGAGGAAGTTGTCGAGTCCCGAACAGACACACCAGAAGGTAAGGGAGGGAGGCTGCTAGCCCTCTGGGTGGGACACAGGTTGGGGCAGGCGGGTGCAGGGGTCGGTGATGGAGGCAGACCTGGGAGGCAGGGATCTTGGTGTGAGGCGAGCCCAGGCCCCACCTCGAGGGGGGAGCTCCTAGTTTGTGCTGCTCATGGCATTGGCGGTCACTCATCTGCCCTCCATTCCAGACCAAGATTCCCCACCCTGCCCAGATGGCATCGCTAAAGAGAAACACACTGTAGCACCTGAGCCCGAGTCTTGTGAGGCATCGGAGCCACCGGCTAAGAGGTCAAAGAGGTAACCGATGCTGAAAACCTTCCCTGGGCCCAGGGGCCCTGTACTCTCATTCTTGCAAAGCCTGGGGGAGGGTGTAGCTGATGGCCAGGACCCTTTA